ATTCTATTGTCTGTGAGGTCTCAGATACCATTAACCAGGCTTTGAGGCCCCACTATATAAAGATGGGAAAAAGGATGAGGGGGACTAAGAGCGTACTTGTGAATAATGGACGAGAAGGAAGAACTGAGATAGGACAGGATGGCAGGGACTGCCAGCTGCTTTCCAATATTCATGCCTCCCTTCTTCCTTAGTGATAGAATTCTGATTTATTCAGGCAGAAAAGCACATAGCTAAAAGGCTGTATTTCCAGATTTCCCTTTGTGGCTAGGGGTATCCCATGAGATATGAGTGGAATTGGTTGGATGGAGTTTCCATGGTAATCCTTTAAGGGGGGCTGATACTGCAGGAATTGTGCCCTTTCTGTTTCCCCTCCTCTTTTTCTTTCCTGGAACATAGACCTGATGGTTGATGTTCCAGCAGCCATCTTGTGATAGTGACCATCCTGAGAAAGGAAGCTACATGCTAAGGATGGTGAATCATAAAGACTGACAGTCCCTGAGACCCTACCATACCATTTGGACTGCCCATCTGAATTTCCTTTACAAGACAATACAAAACCCTAATTTGTTTAAGCCAATGTATTTTGGTCTTTGCTGGCAGTCAAAAGCAATTCGCAACTGACACAGGAACTATCAGAAGCTCCAAAAGACTCACATGGCATCAGGCCCAACATATGATTTTTGATGCTGATAAGACAGAAATTGGGATTTGAAAGTCATCATTCATCTAAACCGAGCCCTAATGAGACGATGTCCTTCCCTTTATTTCAAAGCTTACAAAACCCCTCACTTCCCCCCATTTGCTTCCTCTCAGTTCGGCCTTCTTTCAGATAGACATATAGGTCTCTCCCTCACTCGTATCCTAGGGCCTGCTCCTAGGAGTACTCAAAACCGTCTGCCATCAACAGTAATGTGGTTAGGTAAACACCCTCTACCAGACCCTACAAATTTGGGGTTTGAGCAGTGGTCAACCTCACTCAGGGCCAACGGTGCTTCTGCCCATGAGTTAGCACACACAAGAAACCCTGGATCTCACTGGGAAGAAAAAGCCTGCATGTCTGTTGGTTGTCTAATAAGGTCTATGGTAAGAATTGTGGCTTTAAAGAAGGTGACCCCACTCTGGTTCCATTAAAGCCCAGGCTTTACCACCGAAGCACAATCACACCTTAATTAAGCACTTTATAAGCCTGTGAAGGACTGGCATTAATGGATCAAAATGCTAACACCATCTTCTGGCAAATCAAAGGAGCTCGGTGTCCCCATTAAACCCAGCAAGGAGGAGAAGGAGAATATTCATCTGGAGAAAATATTTCTAAACAGAATATAACTCCTAAACTCTATACTTTCTAGGAAATAGTAGTGCTTATGGTCTCGATTATATTTTCTAACCCTATTATCAAGCAAAGGTACCAAGTTGGAAAGCTACATTGTACCATCTGATTGAAGTCAAGTCTCAGTGATGTGATTTCAATCATTTATTTCTTTTCTCACCCTGTAAATCAGATATATTAGGCTCTTAGCATGGTCTAATTTTGGTTTCCAAACTTTTTGACATCACTGAAACTTTGGTACCCATCCTCTTCTTCCTCTAATTTTTGCCCATTCCCCTGTTCAGTGATAAAACAACCAAAACAACGGAACTGGCAAAGTCATTCATTTTTGCCTCAATAATTGCAAGTGCCCGGCCCTTTGCTTAGTTCTCCATGTGATATTGTCACTGATGAAGCTCTGGGTAGGGACACGGATTATTAGATGTATGCCAGGCCTTTCTCTCTACCACCATGGCGCTTACACTCTAGCTGCAGAAGACAGCAATGCAATGAGAAGAAAATGCTGTATCCAAGTGCATGACAGAGACGCCAAGCTCTCTGAGGGGTTAGGAAAGGAAAAGATCAGAATAAGCCAGGGCTGCAGGGAAAGGCTTCATGCCTGCATGAAATGAGGAACTGGGAATACTTCTTGAAAGATAGAAGAAAATGAATGGGTGAAGAGAAATACAGAATACTTCAAATATTGTCACGTATTTCTACTATCAGATTCAGGCATTCTCCAATTCCAATTCCTAAGATTGAACATTTATAAATCATTTTGGTCTTTTCATTCACCATTGCAAACATCTTCCTATAACTGGAGTCAGGCAAGATGTTTTTCATTCTGTTTCAAGAATTATTTCTGACACCTTAGAAGGCCACTTCTTAAATGACTTTAAGAATCATATTTCAACTACCTTGTTACACAAACTAAAAAAATTGATACTCAGATTATGTGACATGTTCAAGGTCACATAGCAAGTTGGGGACAAAGTAAGAACTAGAATCCAGGCCTCCTGATTTCTCTTTCTCTCTTTCCATTCATACTGGAATATTAGGCAGCTGGCTCTTTTAGGCCTCTAAATATCAGGAATGTATCTGAGTCTGAATATCCTAAACAGCACACCACCCTCAGAAATGCAGTCTACTCATCCTGCGGAGCTAAGTAAGAGGGTATGATTTCATCGTCCAAGATAACCTGTCCTGCTCATGGGAAAATGGCACAACACAGAGTATACATGCTGCACTCCATAGATGTCCCGAGATAGTGGCACCTGTGATGTGTGTCCTGTGGTCTCCAAGCAAGGGTCAGCAGCCCACCACTACTGTGCCATCTTAGGGCACTTGTCTTGAGCCACCCCCTGCCTCAACCATTAGTCCCTTCCTGACATAGCTGCTGATAAATTCAATATCCATTGCATGCTCACCCAAGCTCCCCTTCCAAGAGTCAGGAGTCAGCCCTGTACAAACTCTATCTCTTGGCATACCAGAAGGAAACGTCTGGGGACTTGGCATTCCATGTATGACACAGTAGCATGCCAGCTGCTTCTAAAGGAGTTCTCTCATATGGAACCACAGAATTTGTTAAAACCCCTCACTCTAAGGCTGGTGCCAAAATAACTGTTTTAGTTGTACCTATTTTATTTTCCCTTTCTCTTTTTCACCTTAATATTTTCATACATTTATTCTACTTTCTTCAAAACACCATCTTCTGGCTGAAATGACCTACAGAGAACCCCTAACTTCTTCCTGTTTTGTGGAAACAACACTCTCGTATTCGAAGTACTTTGGGATTTTGAATGAACCTAGGTAACTGGTTTGGTCACTGACACCCACGCTCTCTGGGAGGAGTGACAAGTGAAACTAAGCCTACCTTTAGCAAGAATTGGGATCTTCTAGAAAGTTTTTAATTACTGGAATCCTTGACTTAATTAAATCAGAAGGTGTTACCTTTCAAGAAACAGGTTACATGGTGAAAAGAAATACGGGCTCAGGAGCCAGAGAGATACAAGTTTGGTGCTGGCTCTGCCATTTACTTTGTAAATTCTGCCAAGTACTTAACCTCACAGCCTCATTTGTAAAATTAGAATAATAACATTTGCAAGAAGTAATGAATTGAAAATCACTAGTGGAATCCCTGGGTCAGAATAAATGCTCACAGACAGCTACCCAGACATAGGCATTTCAGTCAAGAAAGAATTTCTGTGCTTTTTACTCAACCACACGGAAAGGCATTCCATTATTCTATTTAACTTAAAGACTGTATTCACTACACTTAATGTACATATCTTGAATATTCTTGTGTCCAGTAGCTGCTCACACCAACCATTTCCTACTGAGCTCTCTCCAAGGACAGCAGAGCTCTGGTTTTAGGGAGGGTTACTGGCAATTAGGGTAGACTTTCCATCCCATGCGCATTTGTCATGGTAAAGACTATAACCACCAATGGTCAGCAAACATAAGACTGAAAGGAGTCAAGAGCTTTCTTTAGGAACAGCCCTTGTAGACATTAAATTTCCTGGTACAGAAAAAACCTCAGGGAGAAGTCCTTCTTGGCAGCCTGGCTGGCATGAGCATCATCCCTCTTTAGTAAGTGACACGATCATGCCAACTTTGTGTTGCTGGAGCTGGTCGAAAGCTTGAAAACCATGCATCCACGCCAAGTGAACCTTTAGTTTTTCCCAGAAAGCAGGGGGACCTGACTTTGGAAGTTTTATTTGCAAACGCTGCTCTGTTGCTGAGTCTTAGCAGCTAATCTCATCTTTAGGAAATGGAATTTGGGCATTAAGTGCAATGAGCTCTGCCTATCAGAAAAAGAAGCACACATCCAAACATCCATCAGTGGTTGACAAAACATCTCAAAAGGTGTTCTAAGAATCATAAAGTTGAAAGTATGCATGAAAGCTTCTGGATCCAGGAGGTGACTTCCTTTAGAGGGAGCTCTGGGGAACTAATAAGATACTTAAGACATCAGATCCTAGGGGAGGCGAGCAAGGACTACCTTCTGGGAAAAAAAAAATCAGGGACATAGAACACTCCAGTACAATCTCAGCCAACTATGCCGTGGACTCTAGGAATAGGATATTGCCCTTAGAATGAATGAGCTGGGGCTGGAACAAACTTCTCACCAGTGAAATTGCCATTTCTAAGAAAATTCAAAGAAACTCTCAAAATACCAGCCAAATCTATTGTAACGTCCCCCTCTTTCAAACATTACAAGACAAAAAATATCTACCTATACCATACTTATCTCCAATTATGACATTTTTTATGTGTGTTTAAACCAGTGAAGACTTCTTGAAAATTCTTATTTTCATCCCAAATGTTGTAACTTTTGTTGTTTGTTTGTTTGTTTTTAAAAAAAAAAAAGAGTCCAGAATTCCCTGGAAGTTACTAGTGGTGCCTAGTGAAAAGTTCCCTTTTACAAAGTGAACCATTATCCAAAACACCTGGTCGTGTATACGGCTCTTCACAGAAAAGGTCCCTAGTCTTAATGAATAGATGGACCTAAAATGATTTCCACCAAATTGTAGACCCACTCATACTAGGGCTCTCCAAGCAAATGCAAATCCCCTCCTGTTGGTCTAGATCAACTCACACACAATTATAACCACCCATGGGATAAAACCTTCCCACAAAAAGCCAAAAGGAGTCAAACCCAGGAGTCTGTGGGGACCCCAAATTTACTCACTTGTCTTCTGCGAAGCTTTTCCCAGTAATAACATTCTTCCCTTGGGGTACATAATTCCAGTATTCTTCCACAATCCCAATGTAGTATGTTCTGGTAACTGTGTCAACCAGCCCAGACAGACCCAGGAAAGTGAGAAGAAGGATGCAGCCAGCCTGCTGCTCCCGAGGCATTTGTGGATGTAACTCAGGCAGCAGCCTGCAGAGGAGACAATCCTGCCTGTCCCTCCCCCTCACTCAGAACTAGTTATGAATAAGGAATGGACAAGGCCCAGCTCCTCCTCCCAGGTAACTTGGGGTTGGGACAGAGGCTGAAAAGGTGTGAGCAGAGCAAGCTCGATGGGGGAGTTGCTATGCTGACAAACTTTTGCCAGTCATTCAAGAGATGTGTAAATGGCTTATTTACTCACTGCCCAAGCTAAACCAGCCTGTTTCTATAAATTTTGGTACTCTGTTGTGAAATTAGTCATTCATCCTTGCCAGGATGGTAGTGTAACAACTTGGGCTGATGGGCATCCCCCTGTTCTTCCTGTCTTGCTCCACATCTGTTACAGGAACATTAAAATTTGGAAACTAGGCTGGCCTGAATGGAGCATAAGGAAACACCCTAAGCACTAAAGACAGCTTCTTCTCTGTCGGGAAGTCAGGGGAGTGATGCAATCACCCCTCTGCCATCTCCAACTTGTTTTATGAGGTTACATGAAGCAATCAACTCACATCATAAAGTTCCTAACGACATAATAGTCCACTTGAGCATGCACCATGTCCCTCAGATTCTCTCCATTAAATACCACAAGCAAAACTGACGAGTTGACTGCCCAGTTTCGCCAAAATTTTAGAGGCCACCACCCTACTTACTTTATCCCCCTAAAAAGAGCTGCCTTTCTGAGGATGAATGAAAATGGCAAGGGAGGGGTACCGTTCAGGCACATGAAGACAAAATTCAGTAGCTGGTCTTTGGATCAAAAAGGTGGAGGGAGTGTCTGCTCTCCTGTGTGCTTGAATCTGTGACCTAGAATCTCAGCGTTGAAAGAGGTTTGGTCCAACCCCGGAAGAGAGCCAATCTGAGCCCTATGTAGAGCTGCTCTTTAGGAAGCAGCCATGGAATGAAGGAAACATTCTCTTGGGCTTTGAGGTTGGACAGACCTGGGTTTGAACCCAAGTCCTGCCACTTAATAACTTAGTGGCACTGAAGAATCACAACCTCTCTGGGTCCCTGTCTGTAAAACAGGGATGGAGGGATTGTTAAGAGTGTTAAAAAAAAAAGATGTCTGCAAAGTGCTTACCATGACACCCAACATGGAGTAGGTGTTCAATAAGCATTAAGGTCCTTCTACCTCAACCACACCCTCTAGGAGAGACTCCGCTTTGGACTGTATGTTAACAGACTTACATTTTCCCCAACATCCTTCTGCTTTCTTTCCACTACTCTTTCCCAAAATCCTATCCACCATGCCTCCTACCAGCCTCAAAAACGAGAAGACTTCCTCTTTAAATTGTAAATACTCTATAGATGTACCATAGCCCAGGTTTTGATTTAACATCCATCCTAATTAATAAAATGCATGACGAGTATCCTGTATCACACCCAGGCTCCTAACATCTTTAACTTACTGATTTTTTTTTTTCTAATATCAAAGTCACTTGTAGAATAATTGCCATAGCACAGGTCCCTGTGCATCAAATCTACTCTTCAATATGTATTTGGAAGCTTTGTATGGGTTTGGCAACGGCCACTGTTCGGGAGAGACTCATAGTGTGGACCTGGGAGCATGGCTTCAAAAGAAGTAGGGCTTTAGGAGTTCTTGGAATTTGGAAATGTACAGGATCAAATAGATTTGGTCTACATATACACCAGAGAAGCAGACTGTTCTGAACCTAACAAGCTGGTTATGGTATCAAAAACTTCCACCAAAATTTTTTAGATAGGAGAAACAAAAGGTATAAATGATACAGACCAAAAACGCAAAAAAGTTAACTTTCCTACCCAGGATATTGACCTCATATAATGAGAACTCTGGAAAAGGCAGAACCTAATTTCTGATTCAAAACTAGGTCTGCAGGGAGGATAGACCAGGTCAAGAGCACCAGAGGAGCTGTAGCAGACAAGATCAGTGCGTTTGATCCATTCATAGCAGAGAACTTGGATACTGAGGGGTAAACACTTCTGGGAAATAGTTTACTAAAAACAATGAAATAGGGTTCCTGGAAAGCTCTCTTAAATTCTTCCTTATTCTCAGGCAATAAAGGCACTACTCAAAGAGCATCTGAATTCCATAAGAGCTGAAGAACAGAAAAGAAAAGAAACTGGTAAAAGTGAATACAGTTGGGGGGGAGGGAGAGAGGAATGAATAGGTGGAGCACAGGACATTTTAAAGGCAGTGAAACTGTTGTGCTTGATACTGTAATGGTGGATACATGACACTGTGCATTTGTCAAAACTCATAAAACTTTAACATTTAAAGACTGAACTCTAATGTAAACCGTGGACTTTAGTTAATAATGATGCATCAATATTGGTTCATCAGCTGTAACAAATGTCTATCGCACTAATGTAAAATGATAACAAAACAGGGAAGAAAGAGTATAGGGAAACTCTCTGTACTTTCTGTATAATTTTTCTGTAAACTTAAAACTGCTCTTAAAAAAATTGAGTGTATTTTAAAAAATGAATGCAATGTCCTATAACACTCATTTCTGAAAAACCACAGTTAAATACAAGATGTGACTGACAAGGTCTAGAATTTGATAAGGAAATCTATGAGGAATAATGTTAATAAAGACTTTCAACTCACTTGGACACTGTTACTAAGTAGTGTACTATTTGTTATGACACTATTCAGACATAAATAAAGTAGAGAAACTCAAAATTTATCAAGCACCTATTATATGAGATGCACAGGCCTAGAGATTCACTCTATTTCCTCAATACGCTCACCAGGCTCTGAGATATAGTAAACTCAATATCATGCATTGATAGAAGAGAAAGATAATCCTGGATCAAATCATATTTCCCAAAATATTGTATAGGATATTCAAATAATAAAACTTTCAGTTGAAGAAGCAAATTCAGATAAATAATATTTTAGCTGGCCTTAGCTCTCCAAAATATTGTATAAACCTATTGCTGTCAAGTCGATTCCAACTCATAGCAACCTTACAGGAAGAGCAGAACTGCCCCATTTGGTTCTAAGGGGCTGCTGGTGGATTTGAACTGCCGACCTTTTGGTTAGCAGCCAACCTCTCAACCACTGTGCCACCAGGGCTCCAAAATATTATAGAGGATATTCAAGTAATAAAACTTTTAGTGGAAGAAGCCCATTCAGATAAATAATATCTTAGCTGGCCTTAGCTGAGGTGTTGTTTTAAGTAATAAAATGTGAGTGACAAAATTGGCTGTACCATTCTATAGACTTTCTGTGTTTTTTGAGATATACATTAAATATTCCTTAAAGACTCTCTATATCCCAAAATCCGACTCCCATTAGTCCAGCCCTTTTACTGCCCTGGTTCAGAAGATCACAGTTTTCCAACCTCATTGGGATGCTCAACTCTTTGACTGTACTTAATTACTTCTCACCTGGAACCTACAGCTTCCTAACTGCCCTCACTGCGGCCTCCCGAATGCAGACAGGACCAGGCCTCTCCACTGCTTGAGATCCTCCAGTGGCTCCCCGTGGCCTTCAGGATAATGGCTGATGACCTTGACCTGACTTTCAAGGCTGGTCCTGATCTGGCTCTTGGGGACTGGGAACTTCTCCTTAACTTTCAGTCCATACTCTGGTCATCATCATGAAAACTAGCCTGCCCTTCATCTGTGTGCCCATCAGCACTTATCACCCGGCATAGTAATCACCTGTCTATCTGTCTGCCCTCCCACACAAACCCTGAGCAAAGGCTTACTATAGGCAGAGACAGGGCTTGTTCATCCCAGTGACCCTAGTGTCTGACCCATCTAGTTGTTGTTGTTAGGTCCCATTGAGTCGGTTCCGACTCATAGTGATCCTATGTACAACAGAACAAAACACTGCCTGATCCTGTGCCATCCTCACAATTGTTGCTATGTTTGAGCCCATTGTTGTAGCCACCATGTCAATACATCTATTGAACATCTTCCTCTTTTTCGCCGACCATCTACTTTACCAAGCGTGATGTGGTTCTCCGGGGACTGGTGCCTCCTGATAACATGTCCAAAGTATGTGAGATGAAGTCTCACCATCCTCATTTCCAAGGAGCACTTTGGCTGGACTTCTTCCAAGACAGATTTGTTCACTCTTCTGGAAGACCTTAGTATATTCAGTATTCTTTGCCAACACCACAATTCAAAGGCATCAATTCTTCTTTGGTCTTCTTTATTCATTGTTCAGCTTTTGCATGCATATGACGTGATTGAAAATACCATGGCTTGTGTCAGGCACACCTTAGTCCTCAAAGTGACATCCTTTAAGAGGTCTTTTGCAGCAGATTTGCCCAATGCAATACGTCATTTGATTTCTTGACAGCTGTTTCCATGGGAGTCAATTGTGCATCCAAGTAAAATGAAATCCTTGACAACTTCAATGTTTTCTTCTTTGACCATGATGTTGCTCATTGGTCCAGTTGTAAGAATTTTTGTTTTCTTTATGTTGAGGTGTAATCTATACTGAAGGCTGTAGTATTTGATCTTCATCAGTAAGTGCTTCAAGTCCTCTTCTCTTTCAGCGAGCAAGGTTGTGTCATCTGCATATCGCAGGTTGCTAACGAGTCTTCCCTTAATCCTGATGTCTTACTCTTCTTCTTATTGTCCAGCTTCTCGGATTATTTGTCCAGCATACAGATTGAATAAGAATGGTGAAAGGATACAGCGGATACACATCTTTCCTGATTTTAAACAGCACAATATCCCCTTGTTCTATTCAAACGACTGCCTCTTGGTCTATGTACAGGGTCCACACGAGCACAATTAAGTGTTTTGGAATTCCCATTCTTTGCAATGTTATCCGTAATTTGTTATGATCCACACAGTAGAATGCATTTGCATAGTCAATAAAACACACGTAGACATTTTTCTGGTATTCCTTCTTTCCGCCAAGATTCATCTGGCATCAGCAATGATATCCCTCATTCCATGTCCTCTTCTGAATCTGGCTTGAATTACTGGCAGTTCCCTGTTGATGTACTGTTGCAACTGTTTT